ACTTTTTCAAGCCTTAGGTTTCCTGCCTGTAAACTGAGGGTAACAGGCCTTCTTGCTATGCTCAGAACAGGCCGAGCTCCTAGAAAAGCGAAGGGGGAAATGAAAAGCCACCTCAGGGCTGCGTACAAACTAACCCTGGAAGGAGAGGGAAGGACATCATTTTCACAGGTGACTGCTTTAGAAGTTTGATAAAGGTGACTTCATTCTTTTAGGCTGGCTGTTCCTTATATCTAGGACAGTTGTCTCTTGGTATCCACCAGGCCCGGGTTCCAGGACCCTAGCAGATAACAAGCTCCTCAGATGCTTAGGTCCCTTTTACCAAATGGTCCAGTATTTGTACAGAACCTGCACACAGCCTCCTATGTACTTTAAATCATTTGTAGATTACTTGTGATACCTAACACAATATAAATGCCAGGCAACCAGTTGCCATGCTGTATTGTTTAGGGGATAATGACAAGCAAAAGTCTATACATGTCTAGTACGAACACTGTTCTCAGGGCTAGGGAGATGGCTCAGTGGAATAAGCGCTTCCCTGGCAAGTGCAAGGGCCTGAGTTCAATCCCTGGTTCCACAAAAAAGAAAAAGGAGACAAACAAACAACAAAAAAAAAACCACTGTTCTCTTCTTCTGAATGTTTTCTAGCTGTGGTGGAATAGACAAAATAGATCTGTGGTTGCAGTGACAAAAGGGGGAAGCCATGCATTGTTGGAGGAAAAATCAAAGTAGTATTACAAGGAGATAGATTATATAAAAGAAAACATATGTGCTTACGGTCCTCAAGTACTATTAAAAAGAAAGATAGAGTGGCAACCAAATATGTTTCTATGCACTAATTTTTATCTGACCCATTGTATCATGCCCGAACATCTTTTTAATGACTCCACAGTGGTGATCATGGGTGGGATGCCTGGAGTTAGGCTTTTAGTCAATCTAACAGAGCCACGGTGTCATTTATTTAATTTTTTTTGGTAGAGACATTGATTAAAAAAATTTTCAATTGGACTAAGAGTATATTTGGAGTAATTATAACAGGGATAACTTCCTTGGTGCTTTTGCTAGCCAGCACAGTTATTGACTCTATGATATTAACTCATTCAGTGTTAACTGTTCACTTTGTAGACAACTGGACAAGAATATGTGGAGACAGTGGGAAAATTCAGTGAAATATTAATATAAAGTTAAAAACCCAAGAGAGCATTATAGAAACCTCTGTCCTTTCAATAGGAGATCAATTTAAAAGTTTACAGTTACAAGGTTTAAAATGTCATTATAATATGACTCACTTTTGTGTCACCCCATTAGCATATGATAAAAACCTATATCCATAGGAAGTGAAAAAATAATATACAGGGGCCGGGGAGATGGCTCAGTAGAATAAGCTCTTCCCTGGCAAGCACAAGGTCCTGAGTTCAATCCCTGGTTCCGCCAAAAAAAAAAAAAAAGAAAGAAAGAAAAGAAAACATAACATACAAGAAGCAGTCCAAAATAGTACTGTGGATATAGATGATCTTCAGATAAAATTGCTGTCAGTATCACAACTGATAGCCACATTTGATACCCAAGTTAAAGACTGGGATAGGTTTGCTCATGCTATTTAAAAAGAAAAAAAATAACTAAATTCATTTTTGTATCTCAAGGCTCACTTTTGGTGTTATGTTGGAATTGCTTACAATTCTCTTGCTTACGATCTTTCTCATTAGAGTGTGTCATGGAAAATTCTCAACCCTGCAGCAACTAGAGGCCGTACAGCTATGACTGACTCTGCTACAACGCAAAGATGGGAAAATGTGTAGGACCACCTGAGTGATTCTCCTTAAAAAAGGAGCAGTTGTCTCCATTTTGGCTGTGCCTAACCCTATTTCCATGTATTAATAGGTATAGAGCTGGACAGGACTTTTCCTTATCCCTTCAATGGGCTTTATGCAGTGCATATTGGTCCAGCCGAGGTGCTGGTGGTAGTCTTTGAAGATGGCACGTGTGTTTCCCAGATAACCTATACTTGCTGCTCTTTAATATGATCTGGGTCAAGATAGGATGAAAAGCCAATGCTGGGCCGGGGAGAAGGCTCAGTAGGATAAGCGCTTGACTGGCAAACACAAGGATCTGAGTTCAATCCCCGGTTCCGAAAAAAAAAAAAAAAAAAAAAGCCAATGCTCCATGCTGTCAGCTGGGATTGAGCCTTGAGATAGAGACTATGACATTCTGTAGCTTGAAAGATTACATACCAGAGCTGAAGCGCCTGCCCCCAAAGCATTATATGATACTATGCCAGTAGTATAATGCAAATTACTTTTCTGCATATCCTTCTCTCTGCATAGGACAGAGTAAATACAGGCCTCCTACCTAGACCAGCTCCCGGTACTCACCTACTTCCTGAAATTCCCAATCATTCATCTTCAAGGCACTCCTCCTTCATGACTGAATAAAACCTGGGTTCACCCCTGGATCGAGGCCTTTGTTCTGAATAGCCATCACCGTGGCTGGACTAAGGACCCCGTGGCTCCCCATAACTATAAAGATGCATTAGTGTCTATTCTCGCCATGGGTTGCACTGGAAGTGGTAGATTGGAATTAACTTGATGGGATTCCAATAATTTATCCATGGGATTACAAATATAAACTTCCTAGACCAATAAAAAGACCAAAAAGGGTTCCCTATAGACACTGACTTCTCCTAGCACTCTGGTGCAGACCACACTGCCCATCTCAGCACTCTCTTTCCCCTGCCCTACCTTTCCCCTCCTCTCTTCCTTTCTTTTGTTGTCTTCTTTTTTATTTCTTGTAGTCCTGAGAATTGAATCCAGGGCCTTCACAATTTAGCTACATCCTCAGTGCTTTTAAAATTTTTTCTTTTGAAATATAGTCTCAATAAGTTGCCCAGGCTGAGCTGGAACTTGCCATCCTCCTGTGTCTGCCTCACAAAGTGCTGGGGTTCCAGGTCTGCCTTGCTGGCTTGAGGAGCTTTCCCCTATCACCTGCTCATTTCCCTCTCCTGCCTTCAGGCCAGCCCCTCCCAGCACCATTGGGGGTAAATATCTTTTCCTTTAAAGCTCAGAATTTCCAGACATTATTGACATTTTGGGCTGGATAATCCTTTGTTGTGGGTGTGGGGCTGTCCCATGCATTGTAGGGTATTTGGCAGGATGCCTGGCTTTTACCCATGAGATGCTAGTAGCTTGCTTAGTTCCAGCTGTGACAATCAGAAATGTCTCCAGATAGCACAGATATCTTACAAGGAAACAGACAAATCACCCTTGCTGGAGAACCACTTTTTTTTTTTTCTGAACCACTGTTGTAAAGTAATGCAAACTGCTTTTAAAATTAGTTCAAGCACAGAGATGGGTGGCGGGGTCAGACTTGTATGTATGGATGTGTGCAGAGGGCACACCAAAATAGTGGCTGTGTGATGAATTCTAGGGAGAATTCAGGGTCTCTTTTCTCCTCCTGCAAGTAAGTCCATGCTGAGGAAGATGCATTCTGAAAACGGGTGGAGGGCGATGTGGGGACCTCAGGGTCGCAGACACTGTGGAGGGGATAGAATTTTGAGTTGCAGCTTTAGAAAGAGTTAAACAGGTTCTTTTTATTGTTCTCTTTCTTTCCCCCTTTGTCCTTCCCAGTGTGGCTGGTGAGGAGACTGGAAACACTCAAGGAGGGCACTGCAGGTTCAGAACTGAGGCAGGCTCAGGTGGCAGTATGGCTAACTCTGGGCTCAGCTTTCGGAGAAAAGGGCACTTGGCCACCCTCCTCCCTCACTTGAGCTTGCTGACTGTGGCGGGTTCGAACCAGGAGACCAGGACTTAGGTGCTGGAGTACAGGCTTTACATCAGAGATGCTGTAAGTGAGCAGGTAGAGCCAGACCTTGACACCTGGGAGCTGGGATGCCTGCAGAGAGGGATGTAGCGAAGAAAACAGTTAGCGGGGGGCCAGGGAGATAGCTCAGTAGAATAAGCACTTGTCTGGCAAGTGCAAGGTCCTGAGTTCAATCCCTGGTACCGCAAAAACAAACAAACAAATAAACAAAAAAAACCCCCCAAAAAACAGCTAGTGGGCACTGCAGAGCCACACAGTACACATCTAGGAATAAGAGCTGGGTAAGAAGCCATAAGGTGGCAGGAAACTGAGCAGGAGGGTATGGAGGACAGACAGTAGCATGCAGAAGGCATGGTTTGAGAACATTAATGACATTTGGAAAATTCTAGAAATACTGAATTTTCAGTTGTGGAGCTTGATGAAGTTGTTCACTGTCCTGCCCCATTCCTGTGTCCTGAACATCCATGCTGCAATACTACCTGCCCTACTACGAAGCTTAGTAGCCAGCTCAGTTGTCAGATGGGCTGATGCAGTATCACAGCACTTGTGTCATTTCCTGCGGTCTTGGGACCCACTGAGGCTCTTGACATGGATGCTCTGTGGATAAGAGGGGATTTCTATGTCTGAGAGGGGTGTTGTGAATGCCTGGCAAGAGGCTGAATCCCATTTCTTAGGAAAGTTCAACCAGGTAGGTCCTTTCTCCTCTATCCTTACAGTGAATTCCCCTCGGAGGAAGCAGGTGGCCTATGTGTGGAATCCCCTAACTTGGTGCTTCTGCTGGAATCTACAGATCTCTGGAGGCCCACAGACCTATTCCCTGTAGTTTGAAAGTTTTCTGAGAATCACCCTGGCTTTTAGGAAAGCTAATGTGATTAATAGGGTCATGTTCTGGATGATTTACAGTGGGTACAATCAAACACTGTAAGCACTGGCCATTTGTGACTATCGCGACTTAAAATGTGACGAGCAAACTGCAAGTCATGCTTCACATGAGTCACACATTGAATTTAGAAGACTTAGTAAAAAAACCATAAAATACCTTGTCAGTAATTTTTTAATATTCATTACCTGCTGATACTTTGGATATATTGTGTTAAATAAATATATTACTAAAAATAATGTCATCTATCACGTTTTAAATGTATTCACTAGAGAAAAATTTCCAGCTTTATCAAGATGCAATTAATGTGCTTGCTTCGGCAGCACATAGACTAAAATCGGAACAATACAGAGGTTAGCATGGTCCCTGTGCAAGGATGACATGCAAATTCATGAAGCGGTCTGTATTTTTGGGTGAGCTGAGCTGGCCACAAAAAAAAAAAAAAAAAAAGATAGGGGCCGGGGAGATGGTTCAGTGGAATAAGCGCTTCCTTGGCAAGTGCAAGGGCCTGAGTTCAAGCCTCAGTTCCGGGGGGGGGGGGGAAAGGAGAGATAAAATTGATAAGCAAATTATGTATATATTTAAGATGCACAATAAATTAAACTGCTAGAAAATTTAAAATTACATACATGACTCACATCCTTTCCCTTCCTCCTCTCCTCTCCCCTTCCCTCCCCTCCCTTCCCCTTCCTCGTCTGTCCTTCCCTCCCTCCCTTCTTTCCTTCTTTCCTTCCATCTATCCTCCCTCCCTCCCTCCCTCCCTCCCTCCCTTCCTTCCTTCCTTCCTTCCTTCCTTCCTTCCTTCCTTTCTTCTTCCCTGCCCCATTCTGTGTTGGGAATTCATCTCAGGCCATATGCATACTAACCCCTTGCTTTACCACCAACCTACACTCCCAGTCCTCACATTATATTTCAATTGGACAGCAGAGGTATAGATCACACATTGTTAAAGAGAATGCTTCTTAGTAGGCAAGAACAGGTTCTTGGTGGTGGTAGTGGTTTTTCTTTTTTCTTTTTTTTTGTAGTCTTTTAACTATTATTGTCTGGTACAGGATCTCCCTATGTAGCTTGGACTCGAAGTGATCCTTCTGTTTCAGCCTCCCGAGTGCTGGGATTACAGGCTTGTGTCACCATGCCTGGTTTCAGTGGCCAGCACATCACGCCCAGGTTCCAGGGCCAGCACAGCATGTGGTGCCAGGGATTGAAACTAGGTCCTTGTGCTTGCCAGGCAGGCGCTTAGACCAGTGTTTTTTTTAAGTATAATATTCAACTAACATACAACATATAAACAGATATACAAAATATTTGTGGTATTAAAATTTCATAGGGAAAAAAAAATTTCATAGGGGCCAGGGAGATGGCTCAGCGGAATAAGAGCTTCCCTGACAAGTGCAAGGGCCTGAGTTCAATCCCTGGTTCCACAAAAAATAAAATAAAATAAAATTTTATAGGGGTTGGCTATGGGGTTGCCTGGACTGTGCAGGAGACTCTGTCTCAAGAAAGCAAAACTAAACAAAAAGCAAAAACAAAACAAAGAGATTCATAGGGGCACAGATTAGGAAAATTATCTTTAAAAGCTGGAAAATAATGAACAAATGAAGAAACATTGACTTCAATCTATATCATAAAACCCAGCAACCACTCCCTGAAGATTGGCCTGCACCTGCATTGGTGTTTAGGATCATACTAGTGCCAAGTAGAAACATTTCACTTACCTTGAGTTAATGAGAAAAGAATTGAGTAATGATGACTCTGTCCCAAATGAAGCAAAATGACACCAAGATACACCTTGTAAAGGAAGGTTTCAAATCAGTGTGGAGGGCAGGCGTGGGAGTGGTGGGAAGGCATGGTCAGGAGAATTCTGTTATGTTGAGAGTTTTGCTTATATGCATTTTGTTCATTTGTTCTGCACTTCTACAGCACAAAGCACATTTTAAAACATTTATTACAGGCTGAGGCATGTTGCCATAAAGCCCCCTCAAAATACTCCCCACCATTTTGATGCCACTTAGCCCTTTGCTCTTGACACTTTCTGAGGCAGCTCTGGAAGTCTTTAGTTTTGTTGCCCTGGCTGCCTCAGGGCCCAGAGTGAATTCACGTTTACTTTTCATGGTCATTTTGACTTTGAGCCAGAAGTTCCCCAGTGCTAAATCTGGTAAATCAGACAAAGAATGAAACCCTGTAATTTTTTTTTAAATGAATTTAGGACAGGGTTTACAGGGTGTTCAGAGCCTCACTACACAGGTTAGACTTGTAGTGATTCTCCTGTTTCAGCCTCCCAAGTGTTGGGATTATAGGCGTGTACCACCACACCTAGTTTCAATCACAGTCTCAGTGCACCCTGGGGGTGGAGCTAGCACGGCATGCTGGGGCCTGTAATGGTTTTATTTCACAGAAACTACTGAAAATGGTCCATCATAAAATACAGTAAATATTTAAATTAAAAAATTATAGTAAAAGACACATGGCCATGAATCCCCCTCAGAATACTTCTGCTGGCTTCCAACACATGTATCTGATCATTCCTGATAATGTCTTTACTATAATAATTTTTTCTTTACTTTCAGTATTTACTTACCCTTTGCTCAGCCCTAGTACATTTGGGTTTTGCCCCTCCCATTTGCCCTGGCCAGTAGGCGCTCCTCCTTCCTGGGGTTCCTGGTGTAAAGTTGAGCCATCCCAGGACACTTAGGACGTACTTGGGGTCCCTGGGACAAGGAATACATGAATTCTCCTGCCCATTTCTGGTTTTATGCCTGTGCTTGCATATGGGATTCAACAAAAGTAATTATGCTTGGCATTCAGGTTTGTATGACCTTTGAAGCAATTATTCAGAGCCATTGAAAATGTGTGCCGGTTTTGCAACAGTGTGAGCAGCTTAGACAGACTTCTCTGTTCTTGGTCCCAGAGTTTCTTCCTGCATCTCTCTCCAGTGAAGGGGGAGGTGGTGTGGGAAGAGCACATGGGTTTGAAATCTGACAACTCTCTTTTCAAGCCTTGCTTGGCTACCTCCAAGTTGACTGACTTTGAGAAAGTGTCCTAACCACTCCCTGTGCTTCCCTCCCCAAATCTGCGAATTCAATAAACATACAAAAGCCTCCTCTTCCTCTCTTCTTGGTTGAATTTTTGGGCCTTTTCCAGTTTTTCATCAATGCAGTTCTAAACCCTTTGAGTGCCCAATTGATCTTACATACTTGAAAACTTAAGTGGAAAAGACAATTAGATAAGCTGGACTTGAGGCTAGTGTAATTTTAAAGTAGGATTTTTGGAATGTTGGAAAGATGACTGTCAAACCTATATTTAGTGAATCTAAATCAAAGTTTTATTGATTGTTAATGAGAGACCTAAACAAGAGATAAAGCTAATTTGAGGAAAGACTGGTTTATATAGGCCAAGAAAAAAGTACTAAACTATTTTTAAGGTAGTTACAAATTGCTTGATTTCTACAGGACAATAAAACTATAAGTTTTGGAATTATCTGTTCTCCTGGACAGAAATAATTTGACTTTCTAGTTGACCAAAATTTTTTTCAACTTGTATATTTACAATTTTTACTTTACAGAATATAAACCCTAAACATTAATAAATAAGTCATATAAATATTATAAAGGCAGAAAACAAGGTGACCTTAAAGGTGGACCTTCAGATGCTCTAGTAGGCTATTGAAAGGATAGGAATCATATTTTTGGCTCAAAGTGATGGATTGTCTCATCTTTCTATTACCATAACAAAACATCAAGGACAATCACCTTAAAAAGCAGAAAGCATCATTTTGTTCAAGGTTTCAGTCCATGGTCTCTTGGGTCTGTTGCTTTGGGCCTGCAGCAGCACTGTACATTATGGCAGGAGTATAAAATGGAGATCTGTTGACTTCTTGTCAGCCAGGAAGAAGAGAGACAGGAAGGGGTCATATCTGCAAGGCCACACCCCCAATGACTTGAGGGCCTCCCACTAGGTCCCACCCACTAAAGTTTCCATTACACTTCAATAGCTGACTGCTTCCGCTATACTCCAATAGTGGCAGTTTGGGGACCAAGCCTTCTATACATAAACTTTTGGAGGATGTTCCTGATATAAACTATATCAATAATTAAAAACAACAAGGAGATCTAATAGTGAAAATGATGGTGGCCTTTTTATCATCTATTCTGGGTAGGGCAAGGGCTGGTCAGATGGCTCAGTGAACTAAAGTACCTGCTTAGACAGAGCACAGCGGCCCAGGTTTGATCCCCACCCTCCCACCCCATATGCCATGCTGGCCCACCCCTGAGGTGCGCTGAGACTTAGATTGAGACTGAGTGTGGTGGTGTGCACCTTTAATCCCAGTGCATGGGAGGCTGAAAACAGGAGAATTGCTATGAGTCTGATCTATGTAGTAAGACCCTGTACTAAATACATAATAATAATAATAATAATCCTGGTAAGACAGCATTGATCTTTTAAAAAAATTTTTATTTATTTATGTATATGTGTGTGTGTGTGTGGCCAACTCAGCCCACCAGGGGGCGGGGATGGCTGGCATGTGGTGCTGGGGGATTGAACCGCGGTCCCTGTGCTTTGCTAAGCTTGTTCTAAGTAGGTGCTTTAGACCACTGAGCCATCTCACCAACCCCAAGACAGCATTAATTCTTTAGTTAGGTTTAATGAGAGCTATCCTCTAAAAACAGAACTCCTCAATTCCCATTTAAACTAAATTTCCCTGCTGCCATTTAAATTAAATTTTTTCCCCCTGTCATTCTGAACAGCGAGAGTCTTTGGACAGTAACAGGAGTTTCAGTGTTACAGCCCACATTTGACAGTTAAGCTTTAGGACAATTCCTGACCCTGACAATCTCTTGGGTCTAGGATCTTGTCTTGAACCACATTTGAACCTTTTGGTATGTGAACCCTGCTGTTGGCTGGCAAACCATGACTTCCTGGTTTTTCAAAAAAGAAAGGCTCAAGAGAGGCGCCTTGGACTTCAAATGGCTATTACAAAACAACATTTTGATGAGTTAAGTGTAAATTAATCAGAAGCATATGGATTTAATTAGCCTCCAAACAGCCATTTCAAAATGTAGGAAAGGAAAAAAGCATGCTTGTGTCAAAACACATCTTGGGGGTTTTCTGTGAAATGCAAAATGATGTAAAAACAGATGGAGCCATCTGCCAAGCATCCAGGTTGTGTTCTCCTCATGTGCTATCTTATCAGGGAGCAAGGAGCTGTGGGAAAATTCTCTCACAGAGATCACGGTATTTCAGCATCCTGTCTGCCAGCCCGCTTGTGGCCTACATTTAATTAAACCAGGCCTACGCATGGCTGGAGAGAATGCAACTTCTATGTTTTTGAAGATAGTCCAGGGCGCAATCCACATGGGACCCTGTGTGTGGTCTTCTCTTACAGTTGAAAACCCCCATATTATTCTTCTCCT